AAAAATATGAATCAGAAAATAGTGGAGAATTCTGAGAATGAAAAGAATTCAGATAAAAACAGAGGAAGGAACTATCTTCTTACCAGTTGATATTAATTTAGTGGCCTTCCATTCCATCAAGCTGTCTCTGTTTATCTTCTTCTATTTTCAATCCATCCATTTTCTCGTCGTTCTGATTCTTGCTTCATTTACTTATCTAACCCTTGCCTCTTGTGTTTTAACCTTACCCTAATTGTTTTAACTCTCGTTAACTACCCGCTCCTATCCTACATTCCGCTCTTCGCCCACTTGAACTTACTTCTCCTATCGAACGCCGAGAAAACTGAGGTTTCCAGGCCGAGAGGGCGCACTAAGCTAGCGTGGCCACGAAAGCGCTGATAGACTGGCGGCTGCCAGTATCGAAGCTCGTCAGTAGGTGGTGAAAGGTTCTCCAACCGAAGAGCTCTCAGTTCTCGCACGAGTTAATGAATCAGCTGTGCCACTCTTCCAAGTCTTATTCTCCGCCACCTTATCTGACATTCCTCTCACCCTAGGGTTAATATTATAATTGATCGTACGAGTGAATACTGTCGACCTTTTTTTTTTTCATTATTTTAAATTCTCGACGTGTTTAATCACACAACCTTCCGCCATGCCATTAAACCTATTAACTACTGAAGTTCTGCTCTTACTACTTTGTCAAAGTTGCTTCTCTTCTCATAACCAACAATATGCCGGGACTGCTGACCTGGCTCAGGTGTTAACCAACAGTTTAATGGAGCACCACAGTTTCGCCGATTTTCAAACATTCTCTCAATTCTTGAACGGGGAGGGTGGAGATTCCTGGAAACCCCATTCATTGTTTCCTCGTTCAATAACGAGCTGGAAGTGGACTAAACGAAACGCCAAGTTGAACTACACGTGGCCAGTGAAACGAGTGGCCGAAGTAGAAGGGGACATTATTCTTGGTGGGCTCATGATGGTGCACGAGCGGGAAGACACCCAAATCTGTGGACCAATCATGCCTCAGGGTGGAATTCAAGCACTGGAGTGCATGTTGTACACCATCGACTGGGTGAATAACCAGGAAGGCTTTCTACCGGGGATTACTCTTGGGGCTTACATTCTTGACGACTGCGACAAAGACACTTACGGTCTAGAACAAGCAGTTGACTTCATCAAAGGTAAGGCTGTTGAGTAATGTGTAACCAGGCTATGTTGACTCCTTCGAGAAGAAACATGCAGTAAAGTACTTATTTGACTAGGAACACGTCAAACACGCATTCGGAACACAGGTATGCATTAAACACGCCATTAGGAGCACATCTACACGTTACACACGCGATTTGGAGCGCAACTGTACATTAAACATATGATTTGGAGCACAGGTGTACATTAAACACGCGATTAGGAGCACAACTGTACACCAAACACATCATTTGGAGCACAACTGTAC